CGAGTAGTGCGCGGTGTGGCAGACGGTGCTCAGGCATTCGTAGGACGTGCCCTAGCCACCTAAGACGATGCTGTGTAATTATTTTGCTCAAAGGAAGACTCTGGTCCTAGCACCCGTCGTCTGACTTCATCGTTACTCACGCGATGCTCCCACCATGCGTGGGCGATGTTGCGTAGACAGTGGTTGTCGAAGACTGATAGTCGCTGGACGTAATCTGCTCGGCGAGGCCAGGTCTCGCAGCCATAGAGCAACACGGTGCGTACCGTTGCGCAATACACGCGCCCTTTCAGTGAAAGGGATATGTTACGCTGGCGCCAGAGATGCAGCAGATTAGGAGACGCTAATCTAGCTTTGATCACGCGTTGAGAGATCTTACCCACAGCTGCGTCGGCCGTTATGCAACTCCCAAGGTAGACAAAGCTACTACTACTTCCAGACTGTGATTACCCAACGAAAGTGCATTAATGGGTTCCTGCCAATCTTGCAACAACACTTTGCACTTTGAAGGTGCAGAGGACATACCATAGCGGGTAACCTCAATTGCCACACGGTTCAACGACTCTTGACTCGTAGGGGCGTTGTCACTCAGTAGGGCAATATCATCGGCATGCTCCAAGTCTACGACTCTGTCCCCAGGAAGAAGCTCGACGCCAACGTTCGTTAAGTTATGTAACGCGTTTTGTAGGGCATCATCTATGGCAAAATTGAAGAGAAACGGAGAGATAGGGCAACCGTGTCGCACCCCACTGGTGAAAGGAAATGAGGGTGAGAATTCACCATAGACCCTAACCTTCCTTGAGGTCTGGTAATAGAGCGTTTGTAGGATTGAGAAATACTTCTCGGGAACTCCGTGTCTCCGCAAACAGCTCCATAGTGCGGGGCGATCGATAGAGTCAAAAACGACTTTGATGTCTAAAAACACGACAATGGTCTGTCGTCTGTATGCGTGGCGGTGTTCTAGTAGCTGACGGAGATTGAAGATTTGATCTATTCAGCCACGGTGTGCACCAAATCCGGGCAGCTCATACGCCTTTCGGATGCGGCCAACTATCCCGGATACCCAGATTATCTAGTGAAATGGAGGTAGCTTCTGCATCAGGGAATAGTCAAAGACTACTTCATCTGATACGCAGCACCGGAGGTCGTCGCATACCGGTCAGTGAAATCATTTGCGATAAAAGTGAACAGAGCATCCACAATAAAGAACAACGACTTGATCGCTGGGCAGCGTATTTTGGTGAACAGTTCAATTGGTCTAGTGCTAATGTGGTCATTCCAGCAATTGCGGCGGAAACTCCATGGGTGGTAACATGTAAGCCCCTATCAGAATCGGAAATACGAAGCTGCATTCAATCATTAAAGAAAGGAAAGCCTGCGGGACCTGATGCGCTTCTCCCTATTCTTTTCAAGGTGGGCGGAGATTCTCTTGTTGACTCAATTACTAGCTTACTTCGCAGCATTTGGACGGAGGAGCGCATCCTTTTGTCCTGCGGTGAATCGATGATCGTTCCTATTTTCAAGAAGGAATCACGCGACAACTGCGCTAA